AATCGTGGGGACCACGGTGTTACCTATCTTGGGTAGCTCCTTGTCCACGAGCTCCTTGAGAGCGGCAGCCTCCTTCTTCTTCTCGGGAAGAGAAGCAGCCAGCTCCTTACGCTCATCGCTGAGCGCCTTGAAGTCCTCCTTGGCTTTACTGAGCTCGTGAGGAGCGCCAGGAGTGGAGGACAGTGTGCGTACGAGACGTCGGTTTTGATGCGGTTCGGCGTGGTATCTTGCCCGAGTGGTCTAAGGGGGCGGGCTTAAGATCCGCTAGACATACCAGTCTGCGTCTGCGTTCAAACCCCACAGATACCAAAGCTATCCTTCTACACCTTGTGGTGTTGTGTCGGCGCAGCGTGTATTCGCGCTGTGCGACTTGAGAAGGATGTGTGCTGCTGCACTTTGCCATCGGTAATTTATTTTCACTCGACTCGACACTCCAATGACGACGCTCATAGAGAGCTACGAAGTAACGAGTCATTTGGCCATCTGTCTGGATGGGCCTCCCCGCCGAGTCCAAGGGACTGTCGCCACGAAGCTTCACCCACATATCTCCAAGAACTTGCATCAAAGTTCGAGGCCGGGTTTGAGAAGCCAAACATCGCCGAGCTTCCTCCATTATCGACGGAGAAAAGAAGAAAGGAAGCTCAGGAAGCATCCGCCGAAGACGCTGACAGAGATGGCTCGGGTCGAAAACGGCCATGAAAGCTCGAATGCCGTCAAGAGAACACGGCGTAGGTGGAACACGGCGTAGGTGGAACACGACTCTTGCCCCCTACGAGCTCCATCTGCACCCCTCCGCTCAGTGTATCCAATAATGCATTCCAACAACGAGCTGAGCCGAAATGCATGAATGGTACCTCGCGGAGCTGAGCCATGTGAAGAGTCAGGCGACAATCCTTGGACACCGCTTGCGAGGCCCGAGTCCGTAACGTCGCCAGCGGGCGTGTAAGAGCGCTGGGAAGTGCGACCACAGGTAAAGGTCTTTGAAGGTGCTGGATGCAATGTTGAACGCGGCAATGCGCGTGGCCTTGATGTGGTGCGCGTGGCCTTGATGTGGTGCGCTTGGTTGTGTGTGAGTATGCATTTGTTTGGCCTTTTGTTTGGCGTTTGTTTTGGTTAATAGAAGGTGCTCCCAAATAGTCTAGGCGGTTAGGATACGTGGCTTTCACCCACGCGACCCGGGTTCGAGTCCCGGTTTGGAAATTTGCTTTGCTTTTTCAATTCTTCGTTCCGCCATGTATATAGCGCTCGTTGTGCTTGCTGGTACGACGTTCGGATGACTGTATGGCCGGTAATGGAGAGTAGTTCGGCTTAGCACTCGCAGGGGCAACGACCAGCCGGAGGGTAAGCGGGACGAGAACGGCGGTACCTAATTCAGGTTCACAACAACAGCTCCTGCGTGGTAAAGGTCTTTGAAGGTGCTGGATGCAATGTTGAAGGCGGCAATGCGCGTGGCCTTGATGTGGTGCGCTTGGTTGTGTGTGAGTATGCGTGTGTTTGGCCTTTTGTTTGGCGTTTGTTTTGATTAATAGAAGGTGCTCCCAAATAGTCTAGGCGGTTAGGATACGTGGCTTTCACCCACGCGACCCGGGTTCGAGTCCCGGTTTGGAAATTTGCTTTGCTTTTTCAATTCTTCGTTCCGCCATGTATATAGCGCTCGTTGTGCTTGCTGGTACGACGTTCGGATGACTGTATGGCCGGTAATGGAGAGTAGTTCGGCTTAGCACTCGCAGGGGCAACGACCAGCCGGAGGGTAAGCGGGACGAGAACGGCGGTACCTAATTCAGGCTCACAACAACAGCTCCTGCGTGGTAAAGGTCTTTGAAGGTGCTGGATGCAATGTTGAAGGCGGCAATGCGCGTGGCCTTGATGTGGTGCGCTTGGTTGTGTGTGAGTATGCGTGTGTTTGGCCTTTTGTTTGGCGTTTGTTTTGGTTAATAGAAGGTGCTCCCAAATAGTCTAGGCGGTTAGGATACGTGGCTTTCACCCACGCGACCCGGGTTCGAGTCCCGGTTTGGGAATTTTGCTTTGCTTTTTCAATTCTTCGTTCCGCCATGTATATAGCGCTCGTTGTGCTTGCTGGTACGACGTTCGGATGACTGTATGGCCGGTAATGGAGGGTAGTTCGGCTTAGCACTCGCAGGGGCAACGACCAGCCGGAGGGTAAGCGTGGCGAGAACGGCGGTATCTAATTCAGGTTCACAACAACAGCTCCTGCGTGGTAAAGGTCTTTGAAGGTGCTGGATGCAATGTTGAAGGCGGCAATGCGCGTGGCCTTGATGTGGTGCGCTTGGTTGTGTGTGAGTATGCGTGTGTTTGGCCTTTTGTTTGGCGTTTGTTTTGATTAATAGAAGGTGCTCCCAAATAGTCTAGGCGGTTAGGATACGTGGCTTTCACCCACGCGACCCGGGTTCGAGTCCCGGTTTGGGAATTTTGCTTTGCTTTTTCAATTCTTCGTTCCGCCATGTATATAGCGCTCGTTGTGCTTGCTGGTACGACGTTCGGATGACTGTATGGCCGGTAATGGAGAGTAGTTCGGCTTAGCACTCGCAGGGGCAACGACCAGCCGGAGGGTAAGCGTGGCGAGAACGGCGGTATCTAATTCAGGTTCACAACAACAGCTCCTGCGTGGTAAAGGTCTTTGAAGGTGCTGGATGCAATGTTGAAGGCGGCAATGCGCGTGGCCTTGATGTGGTGCGCTTGGTTGTGTGTGAGTATGCGTGTGTTTGGCCTTTTGTTATGCGTTTGTTTTGGTTAATAGAAGGTGCTCCCAAATAGTCTAGGCGGTTAGGATACGTGGCTTTCACCCACGCGACCCGGGTTCGAGTCCCGGTTTGGGAATTTTGCTTTGCTTTTTCAATTCTTCGTTCCGCCATGTATATAGTGCTCGTTGTGCTTGCTGGTACGACGTTCGGATGACTGTATGGCCGGTGATGGAGAGTGGTTCGGCTTAGCACTCGCAGGGGCAACGGTGGGTAAGCGTGGCGAGAACGGCGGTATCTAATTCAGGTTCACAACAACAGCTCCTGCGTGGTAAAGGTCTTTGAAGGTGCTGGATGCAATGTTGAAGGCGGCAATGCGCGTGGCCTTGATGTGGTGCGCTTGGTTGTGTGTGAGTATGCGTGTGTTTGGCCTTTTGTTTGGCGTTTGTTTTGGTTAATAGAAGGTGCTCCCAAATAGTCTAGGCGGTTAGGATACGTGGCTTTCACCCACGCGACCCGGGTTCGAGTCCCGGTTTGGGAATTTTGCTTTGCTTTTTCAATTCTTCGTTCCGCCATGTATATAGAGCTCGTTGTGCTTGCTGGGTACGACGTTCGGATGACTGTATGGCCGGTGATGGGAGAGTGGTTCGGCTAAGCACTCGCAGGGGCAACGGCCGAGTCAGGCGGGAAGAGGACGGGGGAATCTAATACCCGATCTCAAGAACAGCACCCCGCGTGCTAGCGGTCTATAGACCTTCGAGAATGCAATGGTTGAAAAGATGAAAAGCGCGAAGCCCCTGAGGCCTTGACGCCTTGGACGTTTTGAAAAATGGAGAGTATGAGATTTTTTCTGCTCTTCTTGTT